CATCGATCCCTAACAATTAAAAGACTTGATAATTTGCCTACCTATTAACTACTAAACTAATTTTAAGATAAAATCTCAAAATTAAAATCACTATTCCATTTTTCTTGTTTATCATTTATTATTTTTTGGTCAACGACGAGTCCTTATCATATAGAAGACCCCGTTGAGAATTTTAATTAATTATTTTTTGTTATTATTTTGTTATTTTTATTTTATTATTTATTGATAAAAAAATTATTATCGATCCCTAAAAATTAGGAGACTCGATAATTCTTTTATCAAGTAATTATCTAACCTAATTATTAAAAATAAATTCTAAAATTTAAGGTTAATTAAATAAATTTCAAAGAAAAAAATCTAAGAAAAAATTAATTCTAAATTATGCAAAAAATAAAAATACATAGAGAAAAAATATTTAGACTTAAAAAATGAAATCAAAACATAAAAAAAAAAAAAAAAAATCTTGTTGGGCCTCGAAGCCCAATGGCCTATGCCTTATTCTCTTCTACTGATTTTCTTTTCTTTTTTCCTTACTTTTCTTCTTCTTCTTCTTCTTTTTTACTATCTAACTAGAGTAATTCCATTTTTTTTTATGCAAATTCATTTTTTCTTTTTTATTTTTTTGTGGAAAAAGCTAGATTGAAACCAGCTCTTTTTTTTTTTTTTTTTTTTTTTAAGACTAGGCTAGGCTAGAATTGGGCTGAGTTGAAACCAGCCTGACCTTTCATTCCATGTGGGTTGGGCTTAACCGAACCCATATCCATCTTTTCTCTTTGAAAAAAACCCTAGGTCTGGACTTCAAGTCCATAAACAAACCCCATCTTCTTTCATTTTGTTTTTTCGATCAAGCACTCTTTTATCAAATTCTCTCTCTCTCTCTCTCTCTCTCTCTCTCTCTCTCTCTCATGTTCTTATTGCTTCTCTCTTTTGTTTTTCCTCTCATTCTTCCGGGAATCTAAACTTTGTTTTAAACTTAAAGATAATTGATCGAGTTATTTTCCATTCTCTTATCTCATAACATACATTGAAATCTAAAGGCTTAAAGAACAAAAGAAACGTAAATGATAGAAATAAAAGAAACGAAGCTAAAAAAATGAAAACCAATTTGAAATTCCTAAACGCGAGTGGTTATTATCTTGTAGATTGGATTGAAAATGATTGAGTTTCAAGATGATTTTGGGGAGTTAGGTCTTAATTGATGTGGAATGCTTGGATAACGTCCGGGATTCAAGGATCAATACCTAGTAGAAACTAGGAGGCTTGAATGTAAACCCGAAATGATGGACATGAATCCTTAAAAATTGAAGAACACTAACCCATGCCCGAGAAAATCTTGGTGGAGAAACCCAAAAATTATTGATCAAACCCCAAAACCTAGAAGATCTAGTTGAGAAACCTACAAGACTTGAAATGGAACCTAGAAAAAAAAAAACAATGAATTGAAAAGGCTAAATGTTGAAGTACAAAAAACCCAAAAATGAAGAATAATGAGAAACTACCTAGAATAAAAGCTACTTGAAAATTAAAAAAAATCACTCGAACCTCAATTTTTTCTTGATTTTCACCCTTTCTTAACCCAGGATCTTCCTCACTTTTCTTCCTCTCTTCCTAGCCAAATCAAACCTTTTTTAAGCTATGAATTGCTCAATTATCTCCTCCAGAATCAATCCATTCACATTGGCTCTAGTTGTTAAGGTGAAAATTGTCTTTGATTAGCCAAATAAGAAAAAATCAATTTGTTGAGGCATGATTCTTAGCTAGTATTAATTCCAGTTAAGAACAACGGTGAAGGTGAATCAAATGACACAATCCAGGAAAGATTAAGAAGCAATCCCAAGAGAAATTTTTCGGTTGCGAGTGGATGACAAGTAGTCGGCTAGACTTTGGTCTTGTCGTTTGCTTTAGAATTCCAATTTAGTCCCTCTAATTTTTAATTACCCACAATCCTATCCTTTTTCTATGAAATTTTAGTCTTTGTAAAGAATAATTTTATCAATTGGGTCCCTATAGATCGTAATTTAGATTTTGAATTTCTCAATTGATTCAATTGTACTCCTAACTATCTTAATTACACTTTTCTTTAATACGATTGTATCACTTCGGATGAATTTATATATATAAATATATTTTTATTTTTATCATTTTTTTATTTTTTTATTTTTTGTAGTAAACTCTAAATCAAATCAAAATAAAAAAAGAAAAAATAACAACAAAAACTATGAAGAAATTTTAGGTTATGACAAGATTAAATCTATTACTTTTTGAAATAAGACAGCGCCAAACTATATCTAACTTTTAGTTGATAATTAGACTACCTCTTAGATGAAATCAATACAAATTTAATACTACTAAAAAATAATTATGTTTAGTTATTCATAGACAACATTAATAGAATTATGTTTAAAATAAATTACTAGGTGAATGCTTGATGCTTTTTTTTTATCCTCTAAAATATCCTAAGTCTAAAAATTTAAATTAATCTTTTGTTATTCTATTGACCGTATAAGACGAAAATAACTATTTAAAAAAAATTATTAAAAAACATTAAATATAAAATTATTTGTTTAAATGATGAGAAATATTTTAGTTCAAATGCCTCACGTTTTTTAAAGTGACGTGAGATGGCATGTCATTGTAGAAGATGTCCTTACGTCCACAACATGTCTCGGCGTGACATCCTTGCGTGCACCACAAGTCTCGGGGTGATGTTGGGCTATTGGCTGCTTTGCCGAAAGGAAATCCCCATGCAGGCCACCACTTGCCGACTTAATTAGGTTTAATTTATTTATTTATTAGAAGTCATTTATACATTTTGCTAATCAATATTGCACCAAAATATGGCATTTAATGAAGTAATTTATTTGATTTTTAAGAACCTACGAGATTTGGGTGCTCTTAAACTTTGATTTTTTTTATTTTTTTGATTGCTGTATTTTCGAATCAATAATATAGATCCAAAGGATGGGATGTCAGACTGAAAAGTGGGAGGTAGAAAGAAAAAAAAAAACAGAAAAAATCACTTCAACTTGTACTAGTCTACTAGATGCTTGTGCAATATTTTATTCAAATTAAATAATTCAATAACTCTCACCTTATCTATATTTCTCTCCTTACTCTTAATTTTCTTTTAGAAAAAATAAAATTAAAAATTAGCCATCGTCTCTAAGAAAATCACCAGCCCAACCCTTAATGTCCCTAGTTCTTCCTTTTTCTTTTCTTTTCTTTTTTTTTATTTTGCTTTTCTTTTTAGTGGGTTAATAATTTAGAACTAAATTTTAAATCTAAATTTGATTTGTACATAAAGTTCCTATTAAGGATGTTTTATCATTGAAATAAGACTTGATGTTTTTTTTACTAGGTTATGGTGAATGCTTTTTATTGGTTGAGAGAGACTATCATACTCTTTGACAATTTTGGATGGTTGAGATTTGCTATCAATAGAGTTTGGCATTGCTGTCTGTTTCTCCTATGATTTATGATGGTGTTAAACTTAATTGTATGCATAATGTGAAAAAAAAAAAAAAAAATCATCCTAAAGAATTCTTATTGAAAAGTTTTGGTGAATTTTTGTTAATATCTATAAATAGACTATTTGTACTTAAAAGATCATTACTTATCATTATTGTAGAAGGATTTTGTCTTAATTTTTAAAAATTTTTTTTAATGTAACAAATTGTAATTATCTTCGTTGTTTTTTTGCATTATATTGTTGCAAAGATTGTGATGTCAATGAAATTAAAATCTTTCATCAATTGAATAAACTATTTATTTCTTTTTACATGATGATATATGTATTTTTTCATGTTATACATGCCATACGATGACCCTAAATTTAAGTTCCTGGAGGGGTTGGGGTGTGCTTACCGACATAAAGATTTGACCAAACCATATAAATAGATTATCATTGACTGATGAAAACGACGAGGATAGCATGCATTTTCTTACAATAAAATTAAATCTATTTTGACATGACATGCCATTTTTTTTAGAATAAAATTAAATCTATTTTGATTTAGCATATCAGTTTTGATATGAAAAATCAAATAGAATTTTATTGCATTATCTCAATTTTCAAATTAGTGTTTACCTATGTGTAACATATTTTTTCCCCTCTTTTCTTCTTGTGTGATGCAGTTCGCATTTATTGCTTTTTTTTTTTTTCAATGAATACTTTATGTCTTGATTCTCTTTTCATAGTCATTTTTCTAGTGCAGCAATATCTGACAAAATTTGTTGAACAAAAATATATCTGACAAATGGATTGATAAAATATTTTGCATTGGAGACGACAGCCAAAGTTTCCTTTCTCACATTCTTTTGGAAAAAAAAAAAAACACTCACCCGCTACGTACAACTACATTTACAAATATGAAATATATTTACATGTGAACGTACTGTAAATGTACAATGTTTTTTAAGCTGAGTTTAAATGGTAATGGTAAGTAAGTGGCAATTTATTAATTAATTTCTTAATCAGTATTGATTATAATTAATTTAATATTATTTTATTTAAAAAATACTTTTTTCATTAATATTTTTAAATTTTTACTTATTTTTTCTATCTAGTAAAAAAATAAAATAAAATAACCAAAAGAATTAAGTTAATTTAAAAATATATGGACCAATTAAATAGTTTTTTGAAATTAGAAGGACTATTTTTGCTGATTTCGAAAAAATGGAGGGCCTAATTTATAATTTACTTCCCAAACGGTAAGTCGGTAAGAAACACTTGCAGTTTCAAATATCTCAAACTTTAGAAATTCCTACTCATTGGCTCAGTGAAAAAGGACATCGAAGTAGCCCAGCTACGAGCTGTAAGGCATTAATTATTTATTGTTTTGGCAGAAAGGAACAAGCCATTTCACACGGCATGCTAGTTAAAATGGCATGCAAATTGCAACCTCTAGTTTCTCCTATAAATATGGACAATCATATCTTCATTTTCATCAGCTTGACAACTTATATGTCAAACTAAGAGTCTGTTCCTTCCTCACCTAGTCATGGCTCCCACCTCTAAACTACTCCTAGCCGACCTTGCATCTTCATGTGTGAAACAAATTCCATCTAATTACATCCGTTCCGTCTCCGACCGTCCGAATCTCTCCAATGTTCAGATTTCGGATGGCTCCACCATTCCTCTAATTGACCTTCTAGGTCTTAATGGTCCTAACCACTTTCTTATAATCAAACAAATTGCCCAAGCATGCCAGAATGATGGCTTCTTTCAGGTAATAAAACTATGTTCATTTTTTTGTTACTTCTTCCTCATTTACATCTTTCTTTTGCTTTGCCGGGACCGCGTATATGTGTTTTGGTGGTATTTTTTGAGCTTTCCTCCCTTTTAATAAAAATCTATATGGTTGTTTTTCTTACAAAATACATGTACGTACAATTGGTGTCAGGTGAAGAACCATGGGATACCAGAGGAAATGATCAACAACGTACTAAACATAGCTAGAAAATTCTTCAAACTGCCTAAAAGTGAAAGGTTAAAAAATTACTCTGATGATCCTACTAAGACAACCAGGTTGTCTACCAGTTTTAATGTTAAGACAGAACAAGTTTCTAGCTGGAGAGATTACTTGAGACTTCATTGTTACCCTCTTGAAGACTACATACATGAATGGCCTAGCAATCCTCCATCATTCAGGTATTTGAATGTGTCTGAAATTTGTTTCGTTTTTTGTTCTTATTTTTTAGCTGCTGTTTAGATTAGTGGACATCATACCTTTTGTCTTTCTTTTGTTCCCATTTTCCAGGAAAGATGTGGGTGAATATTGCACAACTGTTAGAGGTCTAGTGTTAAGACTGCTTGAGGCCATATCAGAAAGTTTGGGGCTGGAAAAAGACTATATAGATAAGAAATTAGGGAAGCATGGACAACATGTGGCTATGAACTACTACCCACCCTGTCCACAGCCAGAGCTCACGTATGGATTGCCTGGACACACTGACCCTAATTTAATCACCATTCTGTTACAAGATGACGTGCCTGGATTGCAGGTTCTGAGAAATGGCAAGTGGATTGCTGTGAATCCCATTCCCAACACCTTCATCGTCAACATTGGTGATCAAATGCAGGTGAACCTTTCTATCCTTTCCTATTTAAGGACAAAACATTTATAAAAAATGGGGTTTCAGTTAATGCAAGAGTTCTATTTTTGCAAAATGAATTGAACAGTTTTTTTATAGTTTTAAAAATTAATTAATTAGTCTTTTTCGTTCATTTCATAGAGTTATTTTAAAAATAAATAAAATAATATTAAATTAAATATTGTTAACGTTGATTAAAAAAAAACTTATTAATTAGTTTTTTTATTTTTTGGTTATGATTAGGTCCTTAGCAATGATCGTTACAAGAGTGTGCTTCATCGAGCAGTGGTTAACTGCGACAAAGAACGAATATCTGTACCGACGTTTTATTGTCCTTCACCGGATGCTATAATTGGACCTCCGAAAGAGCTGATCAATGATGATTATCCGGCGGCAGTTTATAGAGATTTTACATACGAAGAATATTATGAGAAGTTCTGGAACAGAGGGCTTATCAAAGAATGTTGCTTGGACTTGTTCAAAGCTTCTAATAATTCAGCCTAGGATGTTTTAAATAATTAGAGTCTCATCTCCATTTTAGCGTTAGACAATCACATATGCTCTTTTGGGTAATAAAAGAAAAAACCAAAAAAAGGGACCTAAATAAACTAATGTCACTTAAGTGACAATTATATAAGCCAACCTTGTCTTATTTGACAGTGTCGCTGGCAACAAAAGAAAACAGGAGAAAGAAAGAAAAAAAGCTATGTTATTCATTTTTATTGCCGATCAAATTGTGATTTGTTATTTCTGATGATGAGCTTTTCAACTAGAATAGTGTTAATAATTAAAAATTTCTATCTTTGAATATTTCTTAAAAATTTTATTTGGTGAGATTCGACCCCCCCTTTTTTTTTTTGTTGTTGTTGTAGTTGTTGGAATTTATTTGTGAAACGACTCTTTGATATTTTGATGTGTATTTTTTAAATGAATTAGAAAACGACTTTGTATTCTATTTTTGATATAGTGAAAAAGTTTGAATGGACTATAATTTCATAAGTTTCTTCACATTAATATGATTGTGAGTTTATTTATTGCCATATTAGTTAATATTGATTGGTTGATCCTAAAACTTATATCAATCTTTTTGTAGAAATGTGAGAATAGAATAATATATTTCACCTATTGAAGTGCATGAGTACAACATGTATACATACAGGTCTAGGATCAATTTAAATCCCTAGAACCAAGTTGTCATTAACTTCCTAGAAATCAGCTCCTCAATCAGCTCTATAATTGGCAACCGTATAGTTGACTTACTATATTTACATGAGAATCAATCCTATAGTGAACTTACTACATTTACAATACTCCTCCTCAAGCTAGAGCATAGATGTTAATCATGCCTAGCTTGTTACAAATACAATCAATCCTAGGAACCCCTAAAGCTTTGGTGAAGATATAGTCTAGTCGTTCTTCAATTTTGATAGGCTTTGTAGAGATCAATCCTTGTTGAATTTTCTCACGGATAAAGTGACAATCGATCTAGATGTGCTTAGTTCTTTCATGAAAAACTGAATTTGATGTGACATAAAGAGTAGTTTAATTGTCATACCACAATTTCATAAGAAGAGGATTTTCAAGACCAATCTCATTTAACAATTGAGATATCACACAAATTCATATATGAATTGGGCCATAGCTCTATACTTTGATTTTGCATTAGATCGAGACACAACATTCTACTTCTTGCTTTTCCATGACACCAAATTTCCACCAACAAAGATATAATACCCCGTAGTAGATCTTTTGTCATCTTAGATCCGACTCGTTACGCATCCGAGAAACACTTAATACTGAAATGGCCATGATTACTATAGAGTAAACCACTCATTAGAGTCCATTTGAGATAACATAAGATCTATTCTAATGTTGTCCAATGAGTAACTCAAGGAAAGGACAAGCCGACTCACAATGCTAACAGGATATGCAATATCAATCTTAGATCCGACTCTATTCCGCATTTAAGAAAAACTTAATACCGAAATGGCCATGATTACTATAGAGTAAACCACTCCTTAGAGTTTCTTTGAGATAACATAAGATCTGTTCTAATGCTCGTCCAATAAGTAACTCCCGAAAAGGACATAATTGACTCACAATGCTAACAGGATATGCAATGCCAAGATGAGTTATTGTGAGATAATTTATTTTTCGAACTAACCTATATTATCTCTCAAGATCAACAAACAACTCCCTATCATCCGTTGTAAGTCGTAGCTTAGTAGCTATTGATACTCTAGAAGGTTCGGCTCCTAATTTTTTAGTTTCTTTCAACGGACCAAGAACATATTTTCGTTGAGAAAGAAAAATACCCTTTTTGGATCCGGTAACTTCAATACCCAAGGAATACTTCAATACACCAAAGTCTTTTATTTGAAATTTGGTATGGAGAAAAGACTTAAGGGCTAAAATACTAGTGTCATCACTATCGGTAATCACAATATCATTAACATATATAATTAATAAGATAATATTAGTTTTCGATCGTTGGTAGAAAATAATATGGTCACAAGTACTCTTTTTCATACCAAATTCTTGAACTACAACATTGAGTCACCCAAACCAAGCACAAGGACTTCGTTTTAACCAATACAAACACCTCTAAAGTCTATAAACTTTCTCATATTCCCTTTGAGCAACAAACGTAGGTGGTTGCTCCATATAGACATCCTCCTACAAATCACCATGAAGGAAAGCAACATCTAACTAATGTAAGAGCCAACCGAGTAGTAGCAGCAAGAGAGATAAACAAATAGATAGATGCAAGTTTAGCAACTAGAGAAAAAAGTATCGGAATAATATATACCATATGTCCGAGCATATCCTTTTATAACTAATTGAGCTTTAAGACGAGCCATAAAGCTCGTCGAATTAACCTTGACAACATACATCCATTTACAACCAATAGCTCGTTTATCTTTTGGGAGATGCACGCATTCCCAAGTACCATTATCATCTAAAACAATCATTTTCTCTTCCATAATAATCCTTTAATCGGGATGGGATAAGGCCTTATGCAATATTTTAGGTATAGAAATCGAATCTAACGAAGCAATAAAGTAACGCAAAGAAGGGAACAAGTGATCATAAAAAGCAAAAGAAGAGATAGGATGAGAACATTATCGTTTACCTTTACAAAAAGCAATAGGTAAATCAAGACTAGAATCTGTTGAAGGAAGGGCTAGTAGAGGATGTGAGTTCTAATTTGTTTGTAGATCTCGTGGATAAGTACGACTAGAGTAAACTTGGGAGATAGGTAGCTTAATGGGTATATGAGATTCAATAGATGTAGTCACGGTATCTATCAAAATATCATCTTCCTCCCCCTCATAATTATATGTAGTAGGTTAATAAAAAAAATGGAGTAGTTTCAAAAAATGTTACATCAACTGAAATCAAATAACGACCAAAAGTAGGAGAATAACACTTGTAATATTTTTGAAGACGAGAATACCCCAAAAAGACACGCTTAAGAGATTTTAGATCTAACATAGATATTTTGGGATTAACATCATGAACCAAACACGTACAACCAAATACATGTGGTTCTATTAAAAATAAAGATTGAGAAGGGAATAAAACAAAATGAGGAGTATCATCGGAAAAAATAGAGGAGGGTAATCGATTGATTAAGAAACATGTTGTAGACACAACATCGGTCCAAAATTGTTTAGGAACTTTCATCTAAAAAGAAGGGCTCTAGCAACCTCTAGTAAATGTCTATTTTTCTATTCAGCGAACACCATTTTGAGGTGATGTGTCAACATATGATGATTGATGAAGAATTCCATTTTCCGTCATATAGGTATTGAATGACTCGGAAAAATACTCTTTCACACTATCATTCCTTAAAACACATATTAAAACATTAAATTGATTTCGAATTTCAGCACAAAAACACAAAATCTAGGGAATAATTTAAATCAACTTTTGAGGAACACCATTTTGAGGTGGTGTGTAAACACATGATGATTGATGAAGAATTCCATTTTATATCATATACGTATTGAATGACTCGAAAAAAATACTCTTTCACACTATCACTCCTCCAAACACGTACTAAAACATTAAATTGATTTCGAATTTCAACACAAACACATAAAATATAGAGAATAATTTAGATTAACTTTTCATTAAATATAATCAAGTAACATACGAATAGTCATCAACAAACGTGACAAAATATCAAAAATCGGTTATAGAAGTCGGTGGACAAAGACCCCAAACATCAAAATGAACTAACTCAAAGGGTGACATAACCCATTTATTAACTCTACAAAAATATGACACACGATGGTGTTTAGTAAACTAGCATGATTCACATTTTAAAGTAGATAAATTCTAAAACCGATGAAACAATTTCTTTAAAACAATCAAATAAGGATGCCTTAACTGACAATGCAACCGTAAAGGTGTTATAGTATCGAAACAAGCGATAGGTCGTGGTATTGGTTGTAATATAGGTTAAAGATGATACGGCCCTCCGGACTCATGTCCTCGACCAATAATCTTCCTTGACGTAAGATCCTGAAATAGACAATAGTCGGGAAAAAATAAGACGCAACAATTGAGAGCTTGATCGATTTTACTGATCGACGAGTAGATTAAATGAAAAATTGGATAAACATGAGGCGGATGACAAAGAAAGAGATGATGTAGGAAAAGTTATTTCAATTCCTATAACGGATGTGGATGGCCCATCGGCTAGAGTGACACTAGAAATATTTTTGTGTGAAACAAAAGAGGAGAGAATATCTTTATTACCTATCATATGATCCGTAGCACTTGAATCAATGAATTGTTTGGAATAGGATGACACAAGACATATAGTAGGTTTACCTGTATCATCACCGATAGCTGGAGGTGGATTGGAAGACTTTAGCAAGGATTGATACCAAGTAAACTAAGCAAACTTATCAACAAACACCGTTATAGATTTCTTAGATGAGGAAGAGGCGAGGCTAGCCTTCAGGCTACAAAGTTTGCGGTATGAATTGTAAGAACATTAGAGATCATAGTTTTCTTCTCGTTCAGTCGGCCATTAAACAAAAAGAAAGAAAGAAAATAGGTCATCAAAGTCATGGTAGCTCACTAGGGCGGGATCAAAAAGAGAAAAAAAATGCAATATCTCACTAGGGCAACAATAGCAGCTACTTAATTAGGGTAGTAGGCTCGATACCATGTAGAAATATGAGAATAGAACAATATATATCACATATTAAAGTGCACGAGTACAACATGTATATATAAATGTCTAGGATCAATCTAAAATCCCTAGAATCAAGTCGTCATTAACTTCCTAGAAATTAACTCCTCAATCAACCTTATAATTAACTTACTATATTTTACATGAAAATCAATCTTATAGTGTACTTACTATATTTACAACATTCTTGTTATCTAGTCGAACACAAAAGATAGATATTATTATTTAAAATTTTTTAGGTATATATAAAAATTTGAAACCAAAATAATTTATTTAAATGAACTAGAGTTTTTTC